AGGTGTTTCTACAACAATAAGGAAACCAATAATCCAATAAATAACTCAATTGAAAATGAGCAAAAGATATAAAGAAATACACCATCAGAGGAGATATCTAAATGGTAAGAAGCGTATTAAAAATGCTCAATATCATATGTCATTAAGGAATTGAAAATTTAAACTACAAGATACTGCTACATTSCTATTAGGATAATATCCAAAATACTGAGAACACCAAACACAACCAAAGATATGGAACAGCATGAACTGTCATTCATTGCTGGTGGAGTCCAAACTGATATAACCACTTTGGAAAACAACATGTCAGTTTCTCATTAAATTAAAAATGCTTTTACTTTGCAATTCCATAGTAGCCTTCCTTAACCAAAAGAAATTGAAATATTATGTCCATATATAAACTTTCATGTGTATGTGTGTGGCAACAATATACGTAATTGCCACAATTTGGACCTGAGCAAGATATTCTCTAGTAGGTTTCTGGATAAATAAATCATAGTACCTCTAAATAATGAAAATTTATTCAGCACTAAAAATAAATGAATTATCAAGTGGTGAGAAGACATGGAGGAAATCTAATGTCTATTGTTGATTTAAAGAAGCCCATCTGCAAAAGGCACAAGCCACATGATCCCAAGTAAGGCAGAACTATGCAACCAGTGAAATGATTATTGATTGCCAAGGATGTAGGGGTCAGGATAGAGGAACAAATAGGCTTAGTAGGAGATATTTTCAGGACAACAAAACTATTAACTATGAGGCTTTTATACCATGGATAYATGTCACAATACAGTTGTCAAAACCTATACAATTTACAGCATACTGTAAACTATGGACTTCAATTAACAATAACGTATCAATATCGGATCATCAAATGGAACAAATGATGAAATTTCAAAGAGAAAATACTTCTTTAATTAGATTTTCAAAGATAACACAGTATCCTAGATGACAGTCTCCCAAATGAACCCCTTTTCATTCAGCATCAGCTCTACATATTAACATCTCCTACTTTTTGAAACCATGGGTTTATTTTGCCATTTTTTTTTACCTTATACAAATGGATTTGCATGAATCAGATATTTTCATTTGGTTTCTTTTGCAACACATTTTTAATGAGATTCACAACATTTTATTTCTGTTAATACTTAACTGCCATATAAAATATCAATGTACAAGTATACTGCAATTTATTCTTCCTATTATTGAAAGTTATTTATATTTCCATTTTTGAGTATTAAAAATATGCTACTATGAACTTACGCTACTTTTAGATTTTTCTTGCTATTCTTACGCTTGTATCTAAGACAGTTCTTGCCAGAATAAATTTGCACCTATAAAAGAAACTTCAGTTTCATATAAAATTAGCATATGCCTTACATATATGGTTGTGGGTCAGCATGGGATTTGCCTAATATTATTTGGATTTAGCTCAAGTGTCAGGCTGACTTCAAACTTTTTTCATGAGCTTCTTATCTTCCTTGGTCAGTATGTCCTGGGGCATCTTCTAGGTAAAAACAGAAAGAGGGTAACCAGAAAACCAGAGGTTCATGCACAAACCTATATTTAAGACATACCTATAAATATTTTACCAATGAAAATAACATTCCTGAACCCAAAGACAAAGGCAAAGATGTCCCCTGTACAAAGTAAGGAAAGAACAAGTGACATTGACAATCATACTCCAAAGGGAAAGGATGTGTACTACTCTCCTAAAAGTGGGTGAAAAAGAAAAATTTCCATTGAATATTGTTCTAACCCAGGGGTACACAAATTATTCCTCGAAGCTCTTTTGGCAAATAAAATTTTACTGGAAAACATTCTTATTGATTCCTTTATATATGGTCTGTGCTACTTTCACAGTGCAATGGTAGAGCTGAGCAATGGAGATACAAATAAGAAAAGCCCTTAAAATATTAACTATGTAGCTATTTACAGAAAAAGTTTGCTTTCTCAGACTGATCTATCAAAACAGGAATGTTGGTTGGGTATACACCTAGAAGCAAACAAGTTCAGAATTTCTCTTTCACAATTCACTAAACTTCTGTATTTTCTGACTTTTCCAAATCCATTGACTCATTACAGTAGATTACAATATATATTACTGTTACTCTGTCCTAATAAGCCAATTGTGCATATCTAATCCCTAAAAGAAATAGTCACTGTTTTTGTGTATGATTGATATTTATCTGTATTTTTTCAATTAATTTATTTATTGAATGCCCATGCTTTTAACCAGACCAATTTCCTTCTGCCCCCAAACTGAATTTTTTCTTATAATTCATTCTCAGTAGAATCAATTTTCTCACTATAGTATGAAAACATTTATTTTAATTTTATTTATCAAAAAATCATATTTTATTAATATTTCTTTATTTCATTTTGTTATCTGTAAATTTTCAACTGTGATATTCTAGATTGATTTTATATGTAATACATTGTTAAAATGTCATTGTAGTTTACTTTAGCATTGTTTGCTTCGGTGGAGGAGGTTACAGTCAGCTTTGTTGCTTTTCTTTGTAGATGATCTGTTTCTTTACTCCAGCTTAGGGTCTTGGCTTTGCATTTAATTTTCTTCTATTGAGTTATGCCGACATGTGATTTTAATTGGAATTATCCCTCTTGACAGAGAATAGCACTTAGAATTGGTAGGTTGATGCTGTTCAACAATTTGAGAAAGTGATACTGTTTTCTCCAACTAAATGTCTCATACTTTACTCTTTCCTCCTCTGCAGAATTTCAGTTGCATGGATGTTTCACCAGTTCATAAAGCATGATAAATATTTTGTAATCTTCAAAATTCACCTTTCTATATTTCTGTCTTTAAGTCAGTAGAATTGTTTTTACAAACCTGGGTTTAAGTTTAATGATTGAGATTATTTTTTTCCTGAAGAAATATTTATTAAATGAGTATACATTATTCATTTACTCTTTTTAAGAACTGGAATTTGAATTTAGTTATATTTCTACTATTTTAATGCTCATTTTATATGTTCTTTGATGTTTCTTGTGTTTTTCAATCATGTTTAGTTTAAAATTTCTTGTCTTCAAGCTCCAACATGTGGCTTATGGTGCGGTAGCTTTTGTTATTGGTTGTTTCTTTTGCACAATTCCATACGCTTCCACAGGCTAAAGAGAAGATACAGAACAATATTATAGTATACCTTTAAATTTTCAAGGTGTTTTTATTGCTCTTGGGCTGTTAGAAATAGTCTGAAGGTCTTAATTCAGATACAAACTAACATAAAACTCGGTTGCTGGAATTTTAGGTAGGGTATGTTTACCTCTTTTTATGGAGCCTACAGAGGTTATGTTTTATTTCCTTTCAGTTAAGGAGACTTCTTGAGATCTAGTGACTGTTATCTCACCACCTTGGTAAGGACAAAATTTCCATCTAATTTTTAAAAAACTTCTGCTTGATGTCTTAGAAAACGGAGCCATGCCACTTCAGAGTTTCTAAAACACTTCTGTGAAGCTCAGTGTCTTTTCAGAATATTTTTAGCAGCTTGGGATCTCCTGTGTCTCCAACTACAGTTTGCTAGCCCTATTAAAAAAAAAAAAAGAAAGAGAAAAGAAAAGAAAAGAAAAATAGACCCAGAATACTGCTGGCTACTTTTTATCACAGTAGCCTCTTGCCTGGGTCTAAGAACTGCTAATTTCAGCCGTTCACCATCTTTTTCCAGAGTATTGGTACCTTTATTCTTTACTTTCCCCATCAGCATTTCATTGCACCTAATGCTGTCAGTTTGAGTTTCCCAAAAGAACATACATAACTACTTTAAGAGTGGAAAGAATTTGATTCTGGAGAAAATTAGCATATGCAGGCAACTACATTCCATAATGACAAGACTTCAAGGTGAAAAAGAAAATAAACTAAAACTAGTTTGATGCTGAGAAAATAATTCATGGTTTTCATGAATTTATCTTGCTATGCATAATACATGAATTTTTCTAAATTGCAGATTAAACATATATTTTGAAATGCAATTTGGTTGCCATGATGGTAATCCAAAATGCCATTATTAGTGCAGATGTATTCAATATGCTAAAGTCATTGTTTAGGGAAGAGAGATAGATACGGATATAGATATAGATCTATTCTATAGCTATCAATATCTATCGATCTCTCTACACACACAACACACATACATATTTAATTTGAGAAACATTTCATAGAGGAAGAGGTAGAGCTGATATGATCTAAATCACTGGTGATTTAAATGACACAAAGTATAAAATACAAAGATTTTTTAAAATGATCTGATGTGAAATACAATCACTATTGTAGAAAAGTGCCATTAAAAACATACAAGGAAAGGGAAATTTTAAGACAGATAAAGGGACAAATAAATAAATGGATTTTGGATTGATTTGTGGCTCAGAAGTAGAGTGCACACCTACGATGCATGAGGCACTAGATTTGATCCTTCAGCACCACATAAAAATAAAATAAAAATATTGTGTTCACCTATAACTAAAAAATAGTTAAAAAAGAATGCATTTTTGTCTGACCTTTTGGAAAGAATTTGTATTTTTACCTCTTTAATTTTGACAACATTAATTATCACAAAAGAGCTCTAGTTTGTACTTTCTCACTCATATATTGCTATAAACAGACAATGGATAAACACATGCAAATGCACAAGTAGACAAGGCACACAAATGGAGGGAAATTGATAGAATCATAACAGAGCACTTTTTCCAGTGAAAGAGTTTATTTAATACTATGAATTTTTTACAAGTTGAGAGTCAAAATTCACCACATTTTACATAGTGTTTTAAAGATAATTATCAAAGGAAATATTGTCTCCAAATTATCACACAATCCAAGAGACAAGGATGAATCAAAATAGGCATGCTGATTTTATTCATTTTTCTCAGATTGGTATATAGTTGGTATTTTTGAAGATATTAAAAAATTTCTAATGTGAAGAAAGTTGGAGATGATTCCAATGAGATAGAGGGTGACAGCCAATAGGCTCAGCAGCTAAAGAAATTCTTCAGTAGAAGCCATAGGACCAGCATCTTCTGTAGCAGAGTGGGCGGCAGCATCCATAACCATAGCCACCATAGCCACATCCATAGCCACCATAGCCACAGCCACAGCCACCATAGCCACAGCCATAGCCACCATAGCCACAGCCACAGCCACCATAGCCGCAGCCATAGCCACAGCCTAGGCCAACATAGCCATAGCCCAGCCCACCATAGTAGTTGCCATAGTAGCAGCTCATGCTGTCAGGAGTGGAGTGTTCAGTTTAGGATCAGGAGGTAGATGTCTTGAGTCTGGATGTCACTATCTGCCACCTGCCTTTTATATACCAGGGGTGCTGGTGGGGAAAACCACAGGCAGGACATAGTCATATTTTCTCACTCATGTGCCTCAGACAATATCATGTGTATCTTAACTTATTGCAAAAACAAGCTTATAACTAAGATAATTTTGTTCCTACGTAAGGATTCTGTCATCTGTTTATGGGCCTTTAAAATGAAATTCTTGCTCTATTTTTAGCACCATATACCATTCTAAATTTAGTGAATTTAATACCCACAATATGATTATATAGTACCATGTAAATTATGGAAGTAGGCATTTCCTTTTTATTTTTATTTTGCATTGTTTCCATTCGTCAATGGAAGAAAAAGATTTTCCTTCCTTCCTTCCTTTCTTCCTTCCTCCCTCCCTTCCTCTTTCCCTCCTATATTTTTTTCCTCCCTCCCACACTCTCTGTCTTCCTCCTTTCTTCCTTCCTCATTTCTTCTTTCTTATTTTTCTATTCTTTTCTTATTGTGAAATTTGTGTTAACATATTTCAAACTGTCCAGCAAATAAATTAMCATTTTCCACTTAGAAATATTATTTACTCCATGATTTTCTTTATCATTCCAAATAAATATCAGGGATCAAGTGTAAAATTCTCTAAGTTAAAGTTGGGTGCTGTACCCTACATTTTTTTTAACAGGTATTTCATTTTACAAGTGTTGAGCAGTACAGGAATGACATGTCTCAAAAGTGTATGGATAGGTCATATAGACAAAATGAGGCATGTGGTTTTCTTTGCTTCCTCAATTTTTAGCAGCTGATGAAGTATGAGTGGGAACAAGGGTACTCAATCATGGAAAGATGTTTTTTGTTTGATATTAATGTTCAATGAAATTAAATTTACYAAAAGACATTAGAACTATTTTAAGAGAACAGATCAACACAAAAGACAGTCAGAGACAAACATAAACTATGTTCCACCACCAAGTAGGCATTGGAGGAACTGGTAAGGAAGACTGAAGCTTCACTCTGATTTTAAAGTACTGTAAAATATCCTCTGATTCACAAATCCTGCCAGTTCTGCTACTCACTGTCACAAAACACTGAAAATATTCACAGATGCATAGACATGATGAAAACCTGCTTTTGCCCATGGTCCTCATTCAGATGATTTGATATTTCTGATAGAGATTCACATGGGTCTGCCAAACTCTTTCACTTACCAATTGACATTTGTCATAAACTTTGTGCCAGCAATTTAATAATCATTGTATTGTGGGACATTTATGATCGTCTCTGTGTTTTTTCTGATTACTAGGGGTTTTTTTTTGTTTGTTTGTTTGTTTTTGTCCATATCATGACATGCTACAAGTGGCAAGAAGACCATGGAGAAAATGCAAGTGTTGCAAAAGAAAACAAAGTTTCTTCGTTTTGAAATTTGACAATAAATCATATTTTTGGTCAGATATACTAAATTTAGTATTATACATGTATTTGTTTCTGAAGGTAAATGTATTGAATTTTTAACACATTATTTATTTGCTTATTGAAGACAACTAGAATTTAAATTTGATTGTTTGGTTCATTCCTCCAATTTTAGTACAAGCTCCAATATGTGGCTCTAATATGCTTGCTTTTGTTACCTGTTGCCTCTTTTGCATATCTCCACAGGAGTCCATAGCTCAACCTTTTGTATTAAAATTTTAGAAGGTCCAGAACAATATTTATTTCACCTTAGAGAGTTTTGTTGTTGCTCTTGGACTGTTAGAAAATATATGGTTGATCTCATTCAAACAAGACCTAACACAAAATTAGACTCTAAATTTTGGTTAGGATCTATTTATTCTTTTCCTTATAGGAAAGAGGAATTGCTCTTTTTTCTCCTTCTTTTAAGGATATTTTTCCCTTAATTCCAGCAATAGTTTTCTCATCACCTTGATATGAACACATTTTTTTTAAATATCCCTTTGAAGTGATTCTGCTTCATGTCTTAGGAAATGGATCCCTGTGACTTCAAAATTTCCAAATATCTCAAGGAGAAAGCTGGATCTTTTGAAGTCAGCATTCTCCCAGCTCATGCTTGTCAAATTGTATCTTTTATCATTTTCAACTATGATTGCCAGTCCTAAAATGTTGAAAATAGACTCAGATTTCTGTTGGTTATGCTGTGTCAGAGAAGCCTCTTGCCTGGCTCCAAGAATGGAGAATGGTAGAATTTCACCCAACTTTTAAAAACATTTTGCATCTTCAAAATATTGGTTTCCATATTCCTTACTTTTCCCATCAGCACTTGATTGCATTTAATGTTGTCAGTTTGAGTTTTCCATGTGAAAAGTAACTACTTTAATAAGAGTGGAAATAATTTGATTATATAGAAGATTAGCATATGTAGATATATACACTGGATGAAGACCAGACTGTGGGGTGAAAAGGAAAACAAATTAATGCTATTTTGATACTGAGAAAATAGCTCATGTTTTTGATAAACTTATCTTGCTATCCCTAATGCATGCATTTTTTCTAAAGACAAGAGTAAATTGATATGTGTTCAAATTATTTGGTCTCCATCATGATAATGCAGAACACAATTATTACTGCAGACATTATGCATATGAAAAAACCTGTAGTCATTATTTAGGGAGAAGATATATTGCTGTACACTACACACACATAGATACTTTGAGATTCTTTTTCACAGAGGCAGAGCTATAGATGATCTAATCTGATCACTGAGGGTACTAACAATATATATATATATATATATATATATATATATATATATATATATATATATACAGACATGGTTAAAATAGGCTGGTGTGAAATAAAAGAAATTGTAGAATATAAAAATTTCAAAAATGTACAAAGGGTAATTTTAGGAGACATGAAAAGATATATAAAAACAGATGTTGTCTGATCTCTGAGAAAGAATTAATATTTTACATCATTAAATTTTAGAACTCTAATGACCACAAAAGTGTTCTGGCACTTTTATATTTCCCTCCCCCTCCATCTCTAACAAAACACACCACACTTATGACTACACATGCAATTACAGAAATACACCTGTCACACCAATTGAGATAATTTAATAGAATTGTAACATACCCATATTTACAGTGAAATATAGTTTATTTCATAATATGTTTTTTACACAAAAAACAAGAGTCCAGTTTGATCACATTTATGTAGTGTTATAATAATATAATCAAAGGAAAAATATTTCTCCAAACTATCATTCAATCTAAGAGGTAATGATGAATTAAAACAGTCATGCTGATTTCATTCATTTATCTCAGATAGTTTGGCATAGAGTTGGTATTGTTGAAGACATTCAGACATTCTTCATATGAAGAAACTTGGAATTGATTCTAGTGAGACAGGAGGTTAGAGCCAATAGGCTCAGTAGGTATGGAAATATTTCAGTAGAAGCCATAGGACCAGCATCTTCTATAGCAGAGTGGATGGCAGCATCCATAACCATAACCACCATAGCCACCATAGCCACCGTAGCCACAGCCATAGCCACAGCCTAGGCCACCATAGCCATAGCCCAGCCCACCATAGTAGTTGCCATAGTAGCAGCTCATGCTGTCAGGAGTGGAATGTTCAATTCAGGATCAGGATGTAGGTGTCTTGTGTCTGGATGTCACCGTCTGCCACCTGTCTTTTATACACTCTGATGTTGGACGGCAAAAACCACTGGCATTGCATGGTCATATTATCTCACTACTATGCTTCAAACAATGTCAGGAATATTTTGACTTATTGCAAAACAAGCCTCATAACTGAGATAATTTTGATCTTATGTAAGGATTCCGTGATCCATATATATATTCAAATGAAATACTTTTTCTATTTTGAATGCAATGTTTCCTTTTATATTTAATTAATAGAATTTGAATTATTTGATTATATTTGATATAAATCATGAAAATAAGTATTTCATTTTTATTATATTTTGTGTTGTTCTCATGATTCAAAAGAAGGAAAACTTTTCTTTCCTTCCTTCTTTCTTTCTTTCTCTCTCCATTTCTTTCTTTTCTATTCTTCTCTTCTTGTGAAATTAATCTTGACATACATTTCAAACATTCCAGAAAATAAATGACCATTTGACAGTTGGAAATTAAGTTTGTTCAATTTTCCTCTTCCTTATCCCAAATAAAGTTCATAGATGCAAGTATAAATCACCCCAAAGTATAGTTGGGTCCTCAATCTTTGACTCTTATTTGCGGTGGGGTACTAAGTAATGAAATGAGGAGTGCTTAACCACTGAGCAACCTCCCTAGCCATTTTTATTTTTTACTTTGTGACAGGGTCTTTCTATGGTGTTTAGGGCCTCTCTAAGTTGCTGCCACTGACTTTGAATTTGGAATCCCCCTACCACAGAATCCTGAGCCCCAGAGGCAATGTACAAGGCTTTATTATTTTTAATAGCTGTCACATTTGGTCTTACAAGTATCTAGCAAATGAACAAATGTCATGTCACTTAATAGATGTACGGATAAGGCAGAGGGACCAAAAAAATGATGTGATCCTTCTTTGTTTCCTCAGTTTTTCCTGATGATGAGGTATTGGTAGAAACAGGTTATTCAATCATAGAAAGATGTTTTTTTTTGACAGTAATATTCAATAAAATTTATTAAAATGTAATTTTCATATAATGAATTATACCTACTATAACAGGACAACTCTATGAGTTAGAGTCCAAAATAGATCTAAATTATTTTTCAACCCTCGAAATGTAGACATTGGAAGAGTTGGTCAGGAAGGAGGAACGTCTTCTCCTGTTTTACAGTTGTTGAACCCAAATGTCCTCTGATGTCTCAAGTCCTGTCAGTTCTGCTCATTGATGTCACCAAACACTGAAAGTAATCATAGATGCCTAGTCATAACAAAAACCTGCCTTTCCACATGCTTCTCATTCAGTTGAGACTTCTGAGGGAGTTTCACACAGTTCTGCCAGCCTCTTCCAGCTGCCAATTGACATTTATTTGTTGTAGAACATGTGCCAATAATTTTTAGGTCGTCGTATTGTGTGTTGTAAAAGAAAAGAAAAGCAAGTTTCTTTCTTTTGAAATTGGACAATAAATATGTTTCTTGAGCAGATATCATTTATTTGCATTTTTAAAAAGTAAACTTGTATATTAATTTGATTCTAGATTCATTTCCCCAATTCAATTACAAATTCTGATATGTGGATGATGTCATCTTTTGCCTGTTTTGCATATTTCCAAGGGAGTCCATAAGTTCAACCTTGTCTATTCAAATCCTAGAAGGTTCAGAACAATATTATGTTTCACT